AGAATGAAAAACTCTTCTCTTGTGTTTGATTACTTGGATAGTTGTTCTCTTTCTTCTTCAAGTGTCCTTAGCTTGTATTTATAGCTTGAAATGTGTTTGAAGTCATATCTAGCTGTTGGGGATGTTTTGGAGCCGTTTGGGAATGATTTTTCTGCAAAAATAGGCTGCCCAAAATAGGGGGAATCGGTACCCCTTTATAGGGAATCGATACCCCTTCATAATATTCAAATATTATGACCGTTGGGCTGATGAACAGTGAGGGAATCGGTACCCCTTCATAGTAATTTACTGTTCAAATAGTAAATTACTATTCATAAAAACATTTTTGTGCTCAATTTTAAATTAAAAGAACTTTGAATTATTTTTGTAAATTTTGAATAAATTCAATTAAGTCCAAATACATTTTGTAAATTCAATTCAAGTCCAAAAACCATTTTGCCTTAAATTGTTATATCGAAACATAGTTCAACAATCTCCCCCTTTTTGATATAACAAAACATTTGAAAAATTGTTTTTGGCAAAAACTCCCCCTTAATAAAATGTTTAATGAAAAAGATACTAGTTGTTGGAAAACATATGAAAATGTTAAGCTCCCCCTTTTTCATTAAGAAATTGAATTTTTCAAACTAAACTTCTCCCCCTTTTTGTTATATCAAAAATAATTCGATCTTTGAAGTTTAAAATAACTTTGGAGAGTAAGTAGTAAATTTTACATTTAAAAATAATTTGAAAAATCAAAGCTCCCCCTCAATAAATTTATTCCAAACAAAATTAAGCTTTTAAGATCTTGACACTTAAACAAAATATTGAATTTCTAAAAAGAATAACAAACATGTTTGTAGCACATGAAATTCAATATATCCAAGTCTAAAATACTTTATGCAATACCAATTGTTGAAATTTGATATTAATACCAATTGCTAAAATTAAGTGCATTTGCATAAAGTTTTCCAAAAATGTTATGCAATTTTAAAAATTTGATATCAATTGCTAGAGAGATATCATTTTCATTTAGACCACATGCATAAACATTCAAATTTAGGCCAAAAATTAAAATTTATAAAATCAAAGTATTTTGAAATTTGATATCAATTGTTAGAGAGATATCATTAGCATTTAAAACCAATTTTGACCAAAATTCATTATGATGAACTAAAAATTCTCAAAAATAAATGTTCATCATAATCATCTTTTCAACATACATGAGATTAAAACAATGATGCATAATCATTTAAAACCAAAACTCATGCATGCTTAAAATCAAATGAGCAACCAAATAACCAAAATTAAAAGCATTAAGCTTAGTAAATTACTATTCATAAAAACATTTTTGTGCTCAATTTTAAATTAAAAGAACTTTGAATTATTTTTGTAAATTTTGAATAAATTCAATTAAGTCCAAATACATTTTGTAAATTCAATTCAAGTCCAAAAACCATTTTGCCTTAAATTGTTATATCGAAACATAGTTCAACACAAACTGATCTGGAAGCTGGGGCTGATCATCAACAAATCTGGAAAGACCATAGTCATCCATAATTAACCACACTTGATGCTTCTAGAGGATATAATTGTTTTCCAAGAGTTTTAAGGTATCAAGTTTTGAAAGATGTTGCACCATCATCGAGAAGGAACGCGAACTCCCCTACGAATACGTAACATCGCCAGCTATCGGAGAACCTCCAGCCATCAAGCTCACAACAGCACATAAGAGAAGAACAAATTAAGAAAAATGCCTAGTTGAACCTGCAATGACTGATACCATATTAGAGAATTACACCTTAAAGAAAAAGAGGCGACGCTCTCATAGATTTCATTAATACAACCTATAATATTCAAAGGAACCAGGTGATATATATACAGAGAGAATGGAGCTAATGCATAACTAAGAGTGCTAACAACCTCCTAACAGACTCAACAACACTAACCACCATCATAATAAAAAGCACCAGTGCAACACAACAACCTATCTGCACTTGGTGAGAGTCAATACTCATAACACACAATAATTGATAAATATCATGACCACAATCTCTTTCAAGTATTCTACGATTACATTGGTCCACTTGTTCCCTTATTGCTTAATCTAGTGCACAACATAATTATATTCGAATAAACTTATTAATTTATTTTGTTTTTGGTACATGTGAGCTTAATGTCCTATGAAAAGGTTTGATTGTTGAAAACAATTATAGCTTTTGCTCAAATATTCTAACATGAAGATCTCATTAAGAACAATTACCAGCAGCCAAATCCAACCCTTCCGTTCGCATCATCATAGACAACCTCGCCCTTTCTATTGAAAATTTCCTACGATCATCACATCATCTTCTTCATTGTTTTTTTCAAATTCCAAACATGTTTGAGATATCTTGTTGATATACAATATCCCTCTAGCATCAATAGGCATCTCAACACCCCTATCAAAGTATAAGGTAAGGGTCGGCATTACAACTGTTGAATTCCCACTGAAATAATAGCACGTCCCAAGGTTTTCGAATGCTGATGCCATAGGATAATTGGTCATCTTTGTTACAAAAGATCTCCCGACTCTTGAATAGGCGGCCAGAGGGAGTCAGGTGATCAAAGATGCCGAATCGATTACGGTGCCAAATGTTGAAAAAACAGACCCGTCGATGGATAATCTTTCACCACCTACTCTGATATCGAATGATTTTGACATCGGAGTGAATTTAATCAAACTCGGAAGGTTTTCGTCACCAAACTTTAAATAGCCAGTTGATTCATCACTTGACGGTAAGCAATATGAGAAAACCTTGGGGTACTTGTTAGAAGTTTGGGAAACTATAGAAAACCATCCACGGCCTAGGCCTAACACCCCTGCTGCTCGTCCACCGTTTGGGAAATGATTTCGTTGGCCGCAGCCGAATAAGAAGCCTCGGAACACATCAAAAGATGTTAGGCTTATGGTTTCTCTAGCAAGAAAGCCAACTGAAAACGTAGTATTGGTGTATGTAACGCCAGGGCCGGTTTTGGATCTGTGCGGGCTGCCCAACCGCACAGGGCCCAATTTTTGTAAGGGCCTACAAAACTTTTTAAGCCTTTTGTATGTATGTGTATTTAGAATATTTGGTCCAAGAATTTTCAAGTCCAAGGCTTATTTTACTGTTATGGTATAGGATCACTAAATTTTGAAATATTAGTGAACTTCTTTATATATCTAATATTTTAGTTTTAAAAAGCCTATTTTATTGTTATGGCACAGGGCCACCAAAATTTACAAGACGGCCCTGTGTAACGCCATATATACATGTTGAAGAAGAAGAGAAACCTTTTTGCATACCTACAATTAAAATATCGACTATGTCAATAGAAAATCTCTACTTATTAAGCAACCATCAGCATTACCTTCAGAAGAAATTTGATTGCAGGTCACCGATGGGACCCGAATACTGGCATAAGATGAAGACTTCAATGGATTGAATATTGGTTCCTTTTGATCATAGCAATATCCAGAGCATGGCTGGCATTGAGTCCATGTTAATTGGCTAGCAGTGTCGAAAACCAAGGAAAGCTTTGTATTCGACCCGCCAAAGCCTATGCCGACTTGGTATTTTCTGGTGCCAATTGAGATTTCGGGTTTGTCTTGAAGTGATGTCTTCTCCAAGAAATTTGAGGAGAGCATCGAATTGATCGAATTTGCCCGGGCTTTGTATTGGCGAAGAACTTTGGCATTAGAGGAAACAAGATTTTCTTTGTCTTGGCTCAGTACCATAACCTTTGATCACTCGAGCTTCCAAAGAATCCATATTCTTCGGATTCAATAGTATCATAACCTCCGGGTCAGGTACAGTGCATAAACAATACCTTTAACAGTTTCATGTGATCTATAAAACCGAAATTCAAGATTTCACTATTATATCTATTTATTTTGCTGACCTATAAGTAGTAGTCAATTCATAATACAACCAGTTAGAGTCACTATAAATAGTCCTTAACTACGACTGAGAGAGGATTCTCCCCACCATCTTTTCCATATAGACTTTTATTTTCTCTTTATACTTTCATCCCTCTCATGAAAAAAACATGGTTATCTCATCACTAGCCATGACTTTTCGTTCAAATTAAAAAATAAACCAACAACGGCCGAAAAGACAAACTTATTCCCGTCAACAAATTTAAATGGTTACACCGTGCAAAGTAAGGACACATATAAGGATGATCCATTGCCTCAAGCAACTCCAAGCATTACATAAACTACAACATATTAGAATTCAAAGCATGGTTTTCAGTGCAAACAGAACTTTCCTAAACGAATCCAAAGATTTCCAGTAATCTCTTGCTTAAAATCCAGTAAGTGACCCCATAAATATCATAATTGGCAGTAACAAGGAATGTTCAACCATGCCATTGAACTTTGCAAGAACAACTCTGATCAGCAACAACTTTTGGGTCTAAACTCAAGTATTTGTTTAAAATTATGTAGGACATTATATCGTAGTGGCATGTAACAAGAATAGAGCATGTCATGTCAAATATTAAAATATATATATGGATTTTCATTTTTAACGTTGCGAAAAAATTTGATAATTAAATGTAACACTAATTTTTAATATTTTAGGATAAATTTAATTTAAAACAAGAGTTAAAATTAAACAGTAAGAAACATAACTATTAATGATTAAATTTATTATTATATTAAAAAACTGTTTGAATATAAGTGGTCTTCTTTAGTGTAGGTTGAGTGTGACTTTGCTATATGTTGAATTTCTTTCTAATCAATCATTTAGTTGGTGTATGTATGAGTAGGGGTCTTTGAGATGTAGTTTTTACCTAATTGTATTGTACTCTTTTCCTAGGTATAGGGAGTATTTTAACGAGTCACAACTTAAGTTTTGATATTGTATGGTTAAATTCTTATTAAAATCATATTTGTCTGGAAAAAAATTAAATAAACTAATAGACTAATCATGGATTCCAATTGATTAGAAGTACTTGTGTCACTGAAGGCTCGTAATTTATTCATGACATAGAAATACTGCAAATGTTCATAGATGAAAACAGATTAGATTGAGGAATGCTCACAGTGAAACTGTAATACTTCCAACTCGGGCAACTCACCAATAAACTCAGGAATCTGTCCCTGAAGTTTGTTTCTAAAAAGATTGAGCATAGTCAAGTGTTTAAGCTCAGAGAAACTCTCCAGACTCTCACTGGTAAGCATATAGTTTGATAAATCCAGGGAGTTCAATCTTTTTAAGGTTCCCAGCTGGGTGTAAAGATATAAAAACAGCTTGTTTTGCAAATGATTCAGCCAAAGAGTTCGCTTGTGTACCATTTTATAAATCTTTGCTGAACTCTCTCGATGATCTTAACGAGCCACCGTGGTTTTCCGGTCGTGAATACGATGTATCCCATGCTCAGTCCAAACACCAATCCACTTCCATAACCCATCAAAATAGAAAATTTCCAATTCAATTCACCATCATCTTCTGGATCAATTGTTGTCAGAGATTCCTCGTCATTATCACAGCTTTTTGATAATGGTAACCCGCATAAACCCCAGTTCCCCAAGTAAGAATCATTAGTGAAAGTATCAAATTGTTTTCCTTGAGGAATAGGTCCAACAAGATCATTTCGAGAAAGGTTCAACACTGGTAAAAATCCAAGAATTTTCAACTCTGGTGGAATTATTCCATGCAGCTTGTTTGATGAAAGATCTAATGATTCGAGTTTTGAGAGATCACCTAATGAAGATGGGATAGGACCTGTTAAACAGTTATGAGAGAGATTTAGGATAATAAGTGAATGAAGCTCTCCAAGTGTTTCAGGAATTTCTCTGAAGAATCGATTATTTGAAAAGTCTATTACCATCCAATTGGTCACTAGTGAGTGAAACTCTCTTTCCAAACCCTTTGAAGTAAAATACAATCCGTGCACATAGTAGATCGATCCATCATCCAAGTGGCCTGTTATTTTAGAGATATCAACCTATTATAGAGCTGTCTTCTAAAGATTATTTTTCATGTTGATTTTCTGTTGGATGAAAATGTTTTGTTATCCATGTAGTGGCCTGTTATGTTACTTCGACTCTTTATTTTGCTTGAAGTATCCAAATACATGGAAAAACCTTTTAAAAGATAAAGGCATCTGTTATGTTACTTCGACTCTTTATTTTGCCTGAACCCTGTCTTAAGCTCTATGTTTTAAGTATCTTTTGTTTGCTTATCAGTGTAAAGCTGAAACTCTGATTCTTTGATGGCTTTTCTTCTTGCAGCTGAACAATGATGATGTTAATGTCATCAACATATCCATAGGCTGCATTTTGGTAGTCTTAATGCAACAAATCCTCCAGAACTGGCAAATGTAAGTTCACCCGATTGTCGCTTCAGTGATCTCAGGTAACACGAAAGATGAGAAAATGGAGGATATATAAAATGATGGGAAGAGAAAGCCTTCAATATCATGGAAGAGAGGGGGATAGAAACTGCAATTATGGCAATGATTTGGCTAACCTTGAAAGATTGTCAACGATGTGGAACATCACTACCATAACCAAATTGTATCAGAAAATATATCTTTTATAGTTTTGGTTTAGGGTATTCTAAGATGTTGTCCTTCCATCATTTCCATAACCAAAAGCATTGGATTTTCTTCTTTTTTTTTTATTACCAATGGAAATGATGATTAAAATATTAATATTTTTTAGGGGAACTTCTATTGTGCGACGCCTAAAAAACGGCTAAAAACCGGCGTGACATGTTAAACAAGTGTCCGGTTAAAATTTAGACTGGTTATGTTATATCATTTAACCAGAAATATTATCAAGTACAATAATATATTAGGTAGCGCTTATATAATGTAATAGGTAGTGCTTATATAATAAAATAGGCATTTAACCGGAAATATTATCAATTTCAACTTCACTACCATATGGATGTGTCATCACCCATCTGTTGAATAAGGGAAACGTTGATTTTTCACTTGATGCCCCTGTTTGATTAACCCGCAAGATTGACATGTTATTTATTACCAGAGCGGGATATGATTTTGTTGAAAATGTCAGTTGGAAATATGTGAAGGATGTCAGATTCGATCAAGAGAATGAGGAAATGGACCCCATTGGCCATGAAGACGACCAACCAATGGGAGACGCAATGATGGAAGAAGTATCACAAGCTCCAGAAGCTCCAGGTGGAGATGATGTCACAATTAAGACACTGATAGAATACATGGTCAATTTTCAGGAGCATATTGATTCTCTTGTGAGCGGAATGCGAGCCGATATTTCATCATTACGCGATGAAGTCTCCATGTTGCGTGACAAATTAAGTCAACAACATTATACGAGTTAGGTAATTAATTATTGATGTTTCTAAACATTTACACGTTATTAATGTATTTTATTTTCTTTTAAAAGATGTGGACAACCAAGAGGTCAATGAAGATGATGATGATGATGATCCAAACAAGAATATCGTGTCTGCAACGCCGCTTGCAAGAAAACTTATAATTTTTTATGTCAATGGTGTCCTTGTCTACATCCCAAGACATCCAAAAGGTTTGAATTATGTTCATTTGTATCCATAATTTTAACATATAAGCGTACAACTTTAATCTCATTTTGTTCATGTTGTAGATGTTATCCTCAGAATAAGATTATGTAAATTTATGCATTTTTGTGTACAGAATTTTGTTGTTGCCATTTGGTCATCCAAGATGAGGTTAGAACTGTTGATCAATTGAATTACTATAGCCAAAATCATTAATATACAATTAAATGTTAACATTAAAACTTGATTACAATCTCAGGCATAACATTGACCGTGTACTTGAGAAACTACCTTTGTTATCTGACCAGTTTCTATTCGTTTGGGTAAGATAAATGTCATTACACTTTGCTGACTTTAATTTTTCTATGCTTCCTACATTTTTATGTTCTACTATTTGTAAACATGATCAAGGAAAGTGCAAAATAGAAGATAATGTGACCTACTGTAAAGATCTCAATGATGTTTGGAACGAGTATCCTGATTTTAACCCTAAATACACTGTTCGTCGATGATTCAGCGCGAAAAATCATTTATAATCCAGTAAGTTACATTTATGCCAAAATTTTCTAGTTAAACAGGTGTTCATACATTGATTGATTAACAATTTATGTTTTTATATGGAAAAACAATTACATATATCCATATCCCTTCAAAGCTGCTTCTCATTCAGACGACGATGCTCTAGGTATGACACAAATTTATTCCTGATTATGCTAATTGGTTTCGTTTTAGTAAAATTGCACCTGATTAGGTTGATAATTGAAATTATTTATATATGTCCTCAGAAAAAGGCGGTAACATATGAGAGTATTTGGAAAATATGTTGAAGGCGTCTAATGTTCTAGACTTTATTAGCAATAATCCTTTTCAATCAAATTAATTTCGTTGTGGGTACATTATTTGAAAATTGTTATGTATAAATTTGTTGTGTATGTATGTTTTGGTTTGATTATATTGTTAGTATATTTCATTCGGATGGATTTCGTTGTGGGTTTGATTATTTGAACATTATATGAACATTGTTATGTATAAACATATAACACAATAATTGTGTCTTTTAATATTGCACAGTATAACATGTGACATACAGTAAATATTCCATTCGGATGGGTTGTGCATAACCAAACAAGATATCTATCTCTTCCATGTGAGTACTTTATTCCCATTTGACAAGTGTGACAACCCCATCAACTCACAACTCAGCTTTGAACTGAATCAATATTATCTTTTACCCGCTTGATGGTTCATAACGCATGTTACTTAAACAGTCTCAGACAATTATGCAATTTCCATGTTCAATTTAACACTGCATTTCATGTTCATTTCATATTTGACAAAAGGCTGAATTTAAATTTCAATTTCAGTTTGAATTTCAATATAAATTTCGGCTCCACTATAAATATTAGCCCGATCATTTGTTCCATCCACACAACAACTTACTAAATGGAAGCATGGGAGGTAACATCAAATTCCATTTCTAAGGTAACAACTTACCTTTTTCAAAACTTATTAACTTAGACAATATGCATGTTATCATTGATTATTCCTAATTTTCATTCTTTTTTTTCCACCTTTATAAGGGAAATCTCGACCATCGTAATTTTTGGTTAACAAGAAGGAAGATTAGATATCTGAAGAATGTGTTCCAAATACTATCCATTTCAGCCAGCTCACTGAGGTAGGTTAACCTTAAACCAAAACCGTCTTAGCCAAATATACTTGATGTAGAAGCAGTTGCAAATTTAAATTCTCAACGGTGATGCATTTGGTTTTCAAACAGTTAAAACGTCAGAAACGTTTCGTACTTATGATCTGGGTGGTATACGGGAAATGCAACTAATGGAAACTAAAAATCCTGATAATTGAGGGCTACAACTTGTAATAATAACAAAAATAATTGAAGGGTAAACGTGTATAAACTATCGATACTTTACTAAATTTACAATGTAAAGGGTAAAATTCTACCAGTACAATGATAATAGGCGTACATGACAAGCGTCTAAACTTGTCATTTACAACTATTTTCACTATACCAGAGAACGTTTATCCGTTTACATTGTTAATTGTATCAGGGTTTATGCTTTACTTGTGTATCTTCCATTATTTAACATTATTATTAAAAGATCTAGCATTTAATTCTCGAGAATTTTTTGATGGATTTTGTTGCATTACTCGTGTAGCACCCAAATCATAAGTCTGAAATGCATCCGATTCTTTAAATGTTTGAGAACTAAATGGATCACCTTCGAGATTTTAAATATGCAGATGCTTATACATCAGGTATGTTTCTCTCAGACGGTTTCGGTTTACGGTTATCCTATCTTCGTGAGCTGGATGAAATGGATAGTATTCGGAAGGCATTCTTCACCTTTCCAGTCTTCCAGCTTGTTACTCAAAATTATGATGGTCAGGATTTCCCTCGTGTTTCATTTAGGTTGATTGCTCCGAATATATAACGACATTTGATCTTCGAATTGTTGTTGGTTGATTGATGGGGTTTTTATATCCATATTTGCTTCTTTGTATACTGAGACATTTGAGGATTGTTGAAATATCAATACTAGTTATTAATATATTTTATATCTACGTGAAAATGTATTGAAACAAATTATTAAAGAATTGTTTTCAGTAATCTCCATAATGAATGACCAACAGAGGTGCACGAATAAAGTGTCGATACATTTATAAAAAGTATCGATCCCAAAAACATCGAATAAGATAATTATAATGTAATAGGTCAATTTCCAATGTAACCGGTAGAAATATACCGATTAATTAGAAAATAGGTCTACATAATGTATCGACACTTTTTAAAATTGTGTTGATACGTTTTGACCAAAATGAAAGCCCAACAAGGTGCACGAATAAAGTGTCGATACATTTATAAAAAAGTATCGATCCTAAAAACATAGAATACGATAAATATAATGTAATAGGTAAATTTCCAATGTAACCAGTAGAAATATACCGATTAATTAGAAAATAGGTATACATAAAGTATCGATACTTTTTAAATTTGTGTCGATACTTTTTGACCAGAATGAATGCCCTACGAGGTGCACGCATAAATTGTCGATACATTTACAATTGTATCGATACCAAAAAATCAAAATCGATAATTATAATGTAATAGATAACTTTACAATGTAACCAGTAGAAATATACCGGTTAATTAGAAAATATGTCTACATAAGGTATCAACACTTTTTAAAGTTGTATCGATCCTTTTTTACCAGAATGAATGTCCAACGAGTTGCACACATAAAGTGCTGATACATTTATAAAACGTATCGATCCCAAAAACATCGAATACGATAATTATAATGTAATAGGTAACTTTACA